TGACCTGGCGATATTGGATGATGAACAAAGAAGCTCCTTAATGTCACATGGACTACAGTGTCGACTAAAAATCACCTGAAGACATAAGAATTAAGCAAAATGTAGAAGAATCAAAGAACAAACATTATTGGGAATTAAGTTACTAACCCCATCAGTCATGTTAGCAGTGAAGTGATGATATATAATTTGCATTTAAAAAAAGTGACAATAATGAGGACTAGAGTAATGATGCTGAACATTCAGCTTTGCCATAACGGGAATAAATTACATTTTAAAATATATTCAAATTGCTTATATTTATAGGGGAGCGCAAGACACAACGTAACGCGGGTAGTTGTAACACTTGTTTTAAATACTTGCACACATGCCAGCATGACGAAACTTGGTGTATTTACTAACTAGTCATTTCAACACTATATACAGCAGATAAAAAAATGCACCAAAATCATTTTCTGTAAAACATTTAACCATAGCAAAAGTACATTTCTTACCTAATTAAATTTTTCATCTCGATTTTTTTTAGTTCATTTAAAATCTCCAATCTGTTGTTTAACAGTTGATAAAGTTCTTTATTGCTTCGCTAACTAGCAGAACACACTCCAGTTGTGCAGTTGGGGTATGTCGTAACACTGCGTTACTATGTATTAGAAATATGCTATAATCTATACTTTTATGAACTCTATTGAGAAAACATGAGAAAAATGTAAATAAAGACTGAGAGTCGATGTTCAGAAATTATTAATTATTATTTTGTTTTGAACTATGCTGTAGGCCTACAGCTGTGTTTTCCCGTCTGTTTGTTGTCAAACTCAAAAATTCGTTTATTTTTAATTACAAAAAAATGGCATTATTTTATATGACAGGGTTAAAAATTGCATTTTATTAAGAAAATATTTTGCTTTGACTTGTATATATATATATATATATAGCCTATATATATATATATATATATATATATATATATATTTTTTTTTTTTTATTAGATCAGATAGCGTTTTAAGCGGTCATGTTACAATGTGCCCCATGGGGCATGTTGTCACATTTCACTTCCATTCTTTCGGGGTAAATCAAGAAAAAAGTATACAATGTATTTATAAAACAAAACCACATAATTTAATTAGACATGTAGGAAAAAAAAAAAAAATTCTAAACCGGAATTAGATTTACACAAACCTAATCTAAAGTGAGAACTACTGTTAATAAGTTGTTAACAAAGCATTAAATCTTTACAGTGTTAATTAAACTATAAGTTGGTTAATTACAGTGACAATGAATGAAGAACTCACTGTTTGTTTAGTCTATATATTAACAATGTAGACTACAATAATGAACAATGAATTACCTATAAACTAATGCTACAATCTAAACAATGCTGGGTTGTTTCAACCTAAATTTGGGTCAAATATGGACAAACTCAAATGTTGGGTTGAAAATGTCATTTAAAATTCAACTTCAACTGTATATTTCTTAATGACATTTCAACCCAACATTTGGGTTTGTCCATGCATATTTGACCCAAATTTTGGTTGAAACAACCCAGCATTTTTTTAGAGTGTACTTTATTGCTGTATAACATATTATAAGGTGTTACCACTTTGGGAAATATATTTTAAAGCATTTTTTTTATGTTAGACAGCTACAATTGTTCATTGTTTGTTCACGGGTATTTCACAGTGCATTAACTAATGTTAACAGATACAATTTTTACTTTTAATATGCATTTAAATAAACTAATATTAATAAATAGTACAAAAGTATTGTTTAGCATTAGTTCATGTTAATGAATGTTAAATATAACCTTATTGCAAAGTATAATCTAATACAATGACATTCACATATTTTTATGTGTGCCTCCAAATACCTTTTGACCTCACATACAATGACCATAAAATTAGCAATTATAATGCATCTCATTTTAAAAGTATCTTAATTGAAAATCTTGAGACTCACCCTTTGCACCTTACCGTCCACATCCAGATAAACAGTTTTAGGGGCATACGATGAGGAACTCGACCCCATGACCTCTGATGGTGATGATGGTTTAGCAACAGACACAATCTATAGTAACCTCCTTCTCCGAAGCAGAGAAAAAACAAAAAACTTCAAAACAAAATTTGAAAATGAAAATCAACTCAGTTGCATGCTATCAGCTGATTTCATAGGATATAAAGTGGATTCATGGCACTAGAACAGGCATTTGCAGAATATTTGCCAGCACATAAATACAAGCTGTTGCCCTACCTCAACATGTGCCATCAGTTTCCTGCAGCCGCTCACTCAGAGATGCTGATGGAGCTGTTGGACGCGGCGGAGTCACAGCTCTGCTTTTTAAGTAGACTATCACTCACTCCCCTGCTCTCCAGCGTTGCCAAGGAACTGTTACAGCTCGGAGCTGACTATGTACTCCATGTCATCTACTGCTTAGGCGACACACGTATCCAACACTGTTCCTTTTCATGACACATGCAATATCTACCCAAACATAGACACAATTTTAAGTCCCACTTTACAATACTGTGTCTTTAACTATGTGTACCACAAACCGAACCATACCAGCAAACCTGTCCCTAATCCTCAATAGCAGCAAAAGTGTTTAGAAATACAACAGGAACATTATAAGTAATGTACTTAACTAAGTTTTTTTTTTTTTAAATGATGTCAGTACATTGTAATTGAAGGGGTGGTCAAAATCCCTTGCCTCTTCAGCATATATATATATATTAAAGAACTATCATTCAAAATGATATTATGATTTTATATATATATATATATATATATATATATATATAATCATAATATCATTTTGAATGCTTATATAGTTCTTTAATTAAGATATTCATTATTACTTAATCATTTATTGACACACACACACACACACACACACACACACACACACACACATATATATATATATATATATATATATATATATATATATATATATATATTCTTTGTGCTTATGCTTGTGAAATCATATTCTTAAATGCATGCTGATGTAAGTTAGCAGCTAGCCTCGGGAGAAAGAAAGGCTTTTTATCTTGATGTTTTGAGACGACTCTCCTGTTTATAGTTAGAGCCTGGCCAAATTCAACCTTGGAAAGCAGTGTGTTGGTGTGTGTGTTAGTCTTCCCTTTACCTGTTTAGGGAAATCGCAATGGAAGACGATTTCGATAAATCTAAATATGTTTAGTGAAAGGTAAAACTTCCGAAATCTCTGTGTAAACAGTACGTGACGTATAGACGCGCCAGAGATCACTTCCGGCCGACGGAAAAATGTCAAAATTGAAAATACTGTGGAAACAAAGACACATACATCTTGAATGCCCTTGAGGTAAGCTAAAACATCAAAGTAAACTATCCAGTTAAAATGCACTATATAAACTTAAATTGTTGTAATTCAAGAATGCTTTGGAATATATAGCTACCTAAGTGAAAAAGTTATGGAAGTTATATAATTTACAGTAAATCAAATATAGCCTACTTTATTAATATATATTTTTTAATATAAAATAAATATTTTACAAAATATTTTTTACTATAAAATTACTATAAAATGAAAGCCAAGTTGTGTTCCAAATTTAAAGTTGATATCACAAAAATTGAAGTTCCCATGAGATTTTGTTTAGGTGTTATACCAAAAATAGCCACCGGGTGCCATTGAATTTCATTGAATTGTATGAATTCTGCCATAACAAATTAATACATGTCTATCCAAATATCACTTCTGTCACTAAATATGGAACTTTGAGACTCAGACCTTTCTGACAATATGTGTTTTGTCAAGATTAGAAAAGGTTTTGATAATAAATTATGAAAGATGATGCCCAAAAGCGGAGGGGCCTAATAAAAAAATTAACGCAAAACAGTTTTCATTGGATGAATTCTGTTTGTAAGCTTTTAAATGATACCTAATTTATGATAACTACTAAAATGTCATATAATAACAATCAAAAATTATATTTTATATATATAATATTATATTATACTTTTTAGAGGACTTCTTACCTTACTTTTAAAAATATAATTTTATCTTTTTTATTGACAAATACTAATTATGTTTAATTATGAACTTTTAGCACTGAAAACCAAAGTTTTTCAATTATTAAAAGTGTGTGCGTCGACTTTTTGTGACAAAGGTCTGAAACTCCTGTAATGACGTCGTTTTTTTGAGGCGCACTCTTGTCATAAAATCATGTATTACTGTTCATTCATAATTTGTAAGAAAAAAAACAGCACTAAAATATCTATTTAGGAGTATTTAGTTAGACCTTTCCAACGATAGGCCTATAGTTTGCCATGACTATTAGGATTTAATAGTAATATAGTGAAGTAAATTTAGGTTGCCCGTATACGGGCAAGTGACAGTTGGAACCACTGCCATTATTGGAGATTGGCTGAGTTGTTGTGCCCAGCAACCCAAATCTGTGAAGGTCATGATGTACCTCAGAGTGTCAGATGCATAATCGATGGAGATATGCTTCCGTCTAACTGTATATGTGTGGAAAATTACTGTGTTTATCTATTTCTTAGCCAATAAAGACACCTATTATAAAGTGGAACCTAATTTTCTATATACTTAAATAATAATAATAATAAAAATTGGCATGAGAAACATACAGGGAAAACCTGGGGCAAATTATCACAAGGGCTATATGTCAGAAACTATAAGGTTTTGGGTATAAACTTTATTTTAGGGTGTCCTTAATTCATTTTAATAATACATTAATGTACTGAGGAATATTAATTAAATTCATGTACTTATGTGGTCAGGGTTAGGATAAGCCCTGTAGTGAAAAAATAAATATACTAAAAATTTTTTTAAATATATTTATTTCTATAAGTATTTTACAAATACATTTACATAATGTACTTGATATAAATGCCCTGCAATTGCACTTGTACAACTAGCTGTAAATTGTAACAACTAATATTGTACTTAAAGCATCAGTTATGCGGATGTAGTGATGTCTTACTAGTGCTAAAAACGTATGGACCGCCAATGAATTATAGTGTCGATTTAATAACAACAACAACAAAAAAATGAGGTTAGGGCAAATTGTCAATTTTCATACATTTACACTATTACAATTAATTATTTAATCTAATTAGTTAATTACATAAATGATTGCAATTTCTGTCATCCAAAACAATGATCTCATGGGTTTGAATGCCATCTTGTGCATTTTCTCGGTTTAATATATTATTTTTTACGATTTAAATTTATGCTAAAAAAAAGGCCAAACAAGCTGTTCAATGGTATTATGACCTGGATATGAACTTATTATTATTTTTTTTTTTAATGCAAAATTTCTTATGGCCAATGGCATAATTTACTTTTAAACTAATGTGCAGTCAAGAATCATCAAAGTGTCCAGAAATGATTTATCACAGATGACTGTTTGCCTTTCACATGCTGTTTCATTTTGGCAAAAGCTGATAGTATCTGGACCCTAAAGCAAGAAAGCCAGCTAGCGTTCTTCTATACATATGAAGCCTCAGGGATTATGTGTGATTAAGTGTGTATGTACACAAATACGACCTCACTACCTAGAGCAATACTTATTCAGGTCTTGTTCAAACACACATACGCATGTACAACTCAATCGCACGGAGAGCCAGGCCAATAACAAACGTGAAGTGAGGTTATGAATAATCACAAACACGGCGCAGATAAAAGGACTGAGCACTGATGGCATATTTTACTGCAAGAAAAAGGGTACATTTGTATTAAGCATCAGTCCCTAAAACATCCTGTATTAAAATGAAGGAGCTTAGTGATTATCTTGTGTTCATCTGGCTCAGGTGACGTGTGGACGAGGGAGTGTGTAACTCTCCTCCTCCTTCGCTGCCGCAGCTGAGCTTTGTTCCATTGTCAGTATAAAAGGATGAAAGTCTCAGGTTACAATTTTCATATAAAATAACCCAGGGGCTTAAAGAGGCTTGGCGTGCTGGATCAATCCTTGGTCCCTTTTTGTCGTTATGCTGCAGGTAATTTTCCGTCGCAGGTGTGATATTCACTTGTTCCTCAGATCTCTTTGAACCTGAAATAAAAAAAAAAAAAAGAACAGATGAAACCACTGCAAACACATGGTGCGAAATTAAACGCTTCCCTAATAATCAGCAGATTCACTCAATGTAATAAAACAAAAACCAGATCAAATAATCACCACCTGTGGATTTGACGAGTGTCAAAAGGGGCGATTGGAGACCATTAGTGGAATGAATGCATGTACGGAAGTAAAAAGCACAAAAATGGCTTAGCTTAGCAGTTTTTGTTTTAATGGAAAATTCATTACCGAAAAAAAAAAAAACCTGACTGATAATTACAAGGGTGTCAGAGCCGTAAATATATCACAGTTGGAAGTGCATACATCATTTTCCATCTCAACACACACATTTCTGCCAGTCATTTGGGAAAAGAGTAAAAACGAACATCTCCCAAGACAGGTTGCAACCTCTTGGAGTAATTGTGACTGCCTTGCAATCTCTAAAAATAGCCTTCACTAAATTATATTGAAAGCAGGAAGGACCAATTAGTTCAAGAACAGCAGTGCTTTGGTGACGACGATTTATATTTCGGGCAGCCACTAATATCAAGTACATGTAATGGCAATCATCTCAAGCAGCGTCATTCTGTAGATTTAAAGGCCACTAGCTAATGATTGATGGTTAAACCTTAATAAAAATCACTGTAAACTGTAAAAGTGCTATTTAAAGATGATGACCTACTATTGAAGAAAAATCAAAACCTTTCTTAATCAGCCTATTAGAATGATCTCTGAAGGATCACGTGACCCCTGAAATTTAGCTTTGCCAAAAAAAATAAATACTTAAATAGAAAACCACAACTTTATACACTACAGGCCAAAAGTTTGGAATAATTATAGATATGTCTATTAATGTATTCTTTTAAATTAAATGTATATGTGTGTATATATATATATATGAAGAGTTCAGATGCAAAAGCCTCTAAATGCCATTTGAAATTTTCTTCTTTAATGATGATTTTTATCAAACTTGTATATTTAAGTTCAGTAATTTCACTTAAATAACAATTAATAGGTAATTATCATGGCCATTTAAGTGAAATCACTGAACTTAAATATACAAGCTTGATAAAAATGATCATTCTAGAAGAAAATTTCAAATGGCACTTAGAGGCTTTTGCATCTGAACCCTTCATATTAAATATTTATTTTTTTTATTTATTTAACAGGGACCATACAGTCAAACATAGTCACAATACAGAGCCTGTAACTGATGCGCAGCATATAGAGTTTATAGCTAATACTAATTTACAACTCCTGTCCCTGGTTGGGCATTTCTAAATACATTATAAAAAAATAAATAAAAAAAAATACACAAATACAAATGCATGCAATTGAATTAGGGCTGTCAATGTTTTTTTTCAAACACAAGAGCGAGCACTCATGGTACACGGCCACACTGAGACATTCAACACACCGCAATTTCTTTCTGTAAACTCCCACTGCAATGTTACAATAATAGGTATATAATACAGTTTACCATTATTTCAGCATATCTGAAATCTTGTAATTTATCACAATAAAAATAGCGGAAGTCTCTCCATAATTCACACGCTCTGCCGATGTTGATCCGTGTTTTCATAAGTCAATCCGATTCACGTTTGGCCTGATGAGCTTCAGCAGATACATTTTTGTTTTGTTTTTTATATTGATGTGGAGTTTGTGTTGGAGTCTGTGTTGTGTTTGAGTGTGGGTTGTTTTTTGGCTACCTCCATGTCGTTAGCTGCAGTGCCGTCGCATAGACTGTATATAAAAAGGAGGGAGGCTCGGGAGTGCGCATGCACGTCACATCCGATTCATTTCGCAGAAAATCCGACCCGGTGACTTAAAGGAGTAGTTCACTTTTCAAAAAACTTTTGCTGATAATTTACTCACCCCCATGTCATCCAAGATGTCCATGTCTTTCTTTCTTCAGTCGAAAAGAAATTAAGGTTTTTGATGAAAACATTCCAGGATTTTTCTCCATATAATGGACTTCAGTGGGAACCAAACGGTTCAAGTTCCAAAAGAAACTTTAAGTACAAACTGCAAACTTGTTCAAAGGGCTTTAAACGATTCCAGACGATGAATAAGGGTCTTATCAAGCGAAACGATCGCTCGTTTTATAAATAAATACCAAAGTTTAAGTTTTATAAGCTCAAACGCTAGTCTTGCTCTGTTCTGTAACTCACTCCTGTTCGAACTCGTTCATCAAAATGAACAAATCTTTTTCCGAGTCATCTGGTTCATTCGGCGAAAGAAATGAACGAAATGATTCGGAAAAAGATTTGTTCATTTTGTTGAATGAGTTCGAACAGGAGAGTCACGAACGTGCATCACAGAACAGAGCAAGGCGAGCGTTTGATAAGACACTTATTTATCGTCTGGAATCGTTTAAAGCCATTTGAACAAGTTTGCAGTTTGTACTGAAAGCTTCTTTTGGAACTTGAACCGTCTGGTTCCCACTGAAGAAAAATCCTGGAACGTTTTCATTAAAAACCTTAATTTCTTTTCGACTGAAGAAAGAAAGACATGGACATCTTGGATGACATGGGGGTGAGTAAATTATCAGCAAAAGTTTTTTCAAAAGTGAACTACTCCTTTAACATAGAAATAGGAATACTGGCCTTCATAGGTAATGCAAAACCCGACAAGTAGGGCTGGTGTAAACGATTATTAACTAAACGATTAGTTGGGCTATTATTTTATCGATTAGTCGACTAATCTAATGACAAATATAAAGAATATTTTTTTCTGCTGCTCGATTAATAAAAAAACACTGATATTCACTGAATCATGATACTATAAGCTGGCTAACGTTAGTCTAATGTTATGTATTTGAACACGTCATTAGAACTCTACAACCGCCAAAACAGTGTTATTAAAATATTTTTTTACAAACATTATTTATCATAGAGAATGTTTAAATACTAATATCAGCTGAGGAGGGAAACGGAGGTTTACCGTTTTTACTGTCTGTGATTCATTTCATTTCAAAGCACATTCACTTCTATTTGTCTTCGTCCTCTATTCTGCAATGTTTCGGTCTCCCACGTGTGTGTGCGGCAAACTGTACCACCGGGAACGTGCAAAAAATAAATAAATAAAGAAGTGTCGACGCAAAAATATGACGTCGACATCATCTATGCGCTGCTATAGTACTACCGACAAGTGGATCATTGTAATGTGTGATTACAATCCCTTCACACACAGGCAATAAAAAAAGAATTAATTTTAGAAGAAAAGTTACATATAGCACCTTAAAGTCCCCGTGAACCGGAAGTTGCAAACGATTTTTCTCCAGTGCTGTGACGTATTTCCAAGTGAAACGGAATATTGAACAGAGGGCAGGGTTTTACTCTAGCGCTCCTCCTCTCCATCTCTCGCTCATAGCAAACTAACGGTTTGAGGGGAGTGGTTAAGCGTTTCCCCACCCAAACTGTGAAACCTACGTCATCAGAAAAAGAAACCGTTCCAGACCGGAAGTAACTTTTCAGATTTTGATTAAAGATTACCAAGGTAAAACATTTTTTTAATATATATTCACTTGCACGGATTAATTGTTCACCACAAGACTAGTAATATGCCCTAACAAAGTAAATAGGTTCAATTTTGATTTCACGGGGACTTTAAACGCATGCGCTTAATTCAAAATCATTAGCGCAAATAAATTGATGAAGCATGCAAAATTACGACATTAACGTAATTTAAGTCGCGCAGTTAGATGATCTTAGAAGTCAGGAGTTTATCACATGCATCTACAAACCCGATTCCAAAAAAGTTGGGACACTGTACAAATTGTGAGTAAAAAAAAGAATGGAATAATTTAGAAATCTCATAAACTTATATTTTATTCACAATAGAATATAAATGACATATCAAATGTTGAAAGTGAGACATTTTGAATTGCCATGCCAAATATTGGCTCCTTTTGGATTTCATGAGAGCTACAAATTCCAAAAAAGTTGGGACAGGTAGCAATAAGAGGCCAGAAAAGTTAAATGTACATATAAGGAACTGCTGGAGGACCAATTTGCAACTTATTAGGTCAATTGGCAACATGATTGGGTATAAAAAGAGCCTCTCAGAGTGGCAGTGTCTCTCAGAAGTCAAGATGGGCAGAGGATCACCAATTCCCCCAATGCTGAGGCAAAAAATAGTGGAGCAAATTTTAGAAAGGAGTTTCTCAGAGAAAAATTGCAAAGAGTTTGAAGTTATCATCATCAACAGTGCATAATATCATCCAAAGATTCAGAGAATCTGGAACAATCTCTGTGCGTAAGGGTCAAGGCCGGAAAACCATACTGAATGCCCGTGATCTTTGGGCCCTTAGACGGCACTGCATCACACACAGGAATGCTACTGTAATGGAAATCGCAACATGGGCTCAAGAATACTTCCAGAAAACATTGTCAGTGAACACAATCCACCGTGCCATTCACCGTTGCCGGCTAAAGCTCTATAGGTCAAAAAAGAAGCCATATCTAAACGGGAACCAGAAGCGCAGGCGTTTTCTCTGGGCCAAGGCTCATTTAAAGTGGACTCTAGCAAAGTGGAAAACTGTTCTGTTGTCAGACGAATCAAAATTTGAAGTTCTTTTTGGAAAACTGGGACGCCATGTCATCCGGACTAAAGAGGACAAGGACAACCCAAGTTGTTATTAGCGCTCAGTTCAGAAGCCTGCATCTCTGATGGTATGGGGTTGCATGAGTGCGTGTGGCATGGGCAGCTTACACATCTGGAAAGGCACCATCAATGCTGAAAGGTATATCCAAGTTCTAGAACAACATATGCTCCCATCCAGACATTGTCTCTTTCAGGGAAGACCTTGCATTTTCCAACAAGACAATGCCAAACCACATAGTGCATCAATTACAACATCATGGCTGCGTAGAAGAAGGATCCAGGTACTGAAATAGCCAGCCTGCAGTCCAGATCTTTCACCCATAGAAAACATTTGGCGCATCATAAAGAGGAAGATGCAACAAAGAAGACCTAAGACAGTTGAGCAGCTAGAAGCCTTTATTAGACAAGAATGGGACAACATTCCTATTCCTAAACTTGAGCAACTTGTCTCCCCAGTCCCCAGACGTTTGCAGACTGTTATTAAAAGAAGAGGGGATGCCAGTGGTAAAAATGGCCTTGTCCCAACTTTTTTGAGATGTGTTGATGCCATGAAATTTAAAATCAACTTATGTTTCCCTTAAAATTATGCATTTTCTCAGTTTAAACATTTGATGTCATCTATGGTGTATTCTAAATATAATATTGAAATTTGAAACTTCCACATCATTGCATTCTGTTTTTATTCACAATTTGTACAGTGTCCCAACTTTTATGGAATTCGGTTTGTACAATGGCGCAAGAACTTTCTATTCTAAACCTTTCACTTCCAATCAGATCTTTTTAAGCAGCAAAACTCCAGGAAACTTTTCAGTCCAGTTATCCAATCCAAAAAAATCAGTCTTAGGATACAACATCAGAGATGGCAGAGAAAACAGTTGTCTGTTTAGCTTTAAAACATGAACATACAGTACTTGTAAAGAAAGTATGCATGAGTCTGTTATATAGATGCTACGAAAAAACGTGCATGTGGGGTTTTGATCGCACATTGTTTTTATGCAAACATTTCAGTACATTTTATAACCGTCATGTGTATGTTGTTGTGTTTAGCTCTAAGCAAGCTCTTTTCTATTGCAGTGTACTCTGAATTCTGAAAAGTTTTCATGTGTGCATAAATGTATGAATTATATAGACTCAAACTGGCTCAAAGGGTCCATTTTTGGAAAGACACCAAATTTACTTTAAAAAGCTTGCAGAAAATACTGTTTTGTAATTAATAGTATCATCCTTCAATGTGATAGTTTACTTTGTTGGAAAGCAAATGCTGATAAAATGATCACGTTAAACAAGATAAATGATGTATGCCTAAATTTCACGATAAGTATGCAACTAATCACGATTATTATTGACAGCCCTATATATACATATATAGCAATAAGTTTACATGAATACATTCAGGATCTCCTTACATATTTCATCATAAATGCAAAGAACAAGAGTGAATTAGGGATATTCACCCTCTCTGCCTTGTAGTGTATCCGCACCATCCTCTGATCTCCTTATAGACGAGTCTGGACAACAGCTACAGGAATAAGAACAAGGGGAGACAGTGAGAAACTGGCTTGAAAACACACATCCATCATGCTATTACACATAGGATAATATTACAGATAATGTTGGACTAAACAATAATGATGATAAACAGCAACTGAAGTCTCACCAGGCAGGCCAGAACATCAGCAGTAATGAGCATATAGAAAACATTGTTCCAACCGGTGGGAGAGATCAGACCAGCCAACAGAGGCCCAACAGCGGCACCTAGAGGTCAATAAACATGTTGTAACACAACATGTAACTTTTGTGAAGTTTTCAAAACAAACAGTGGTTACTGAATGTTACATTTAAATTTACTGTCAATATCCTTTTAAAAACATTGCTCGGTTTTTAAATGCCAAGAACAAAACGTTTAAAATTCACTGCCAGATTATAACACAATAAATAGAAAAAAAACCTCACATTCACTGCATACCTATTGATCCAGTGCCGTCAATAATGGCGGTCACAGTGGACAGTGCCCTAGAGTTCCCTCTCAGACACTCGTGGGTTCCCTAAAAGATAAGAAAAACATTATGAAATTCAACAGCACATAAAGCTTGATACATTACAAAACAGTTTATTGATCAGTTATTGACGGCGAGATTTTAAAGGTCACTGTTGATATATTGGTTTTAAGTCTTTATTTATTTGTGGAAACTTTACAAATGTCCATGTGATGAGCACATGGAGGAAACCGCTTACTAAGTCAGCTGACACAGCAGTGGTGATGAGGGCGTAGGGTCCATTCACGAGAGCACCACACCACAGCAACATGCCTGCGGGTCAGAGAAGAAGATGCAGACACACAAGAGACAAGCTGTCATTTCTGGGAATCAATATTCGCAAGATAATGGTTTAATTGATAATTAACAACATCATCCTTACACCACTATCCCCATACATACAACAATGTAAAATATATTGCTTAAATGTAATATTGTAGCCAGGTTAGACGGTTAGGGTAGATTCAAAGGCAAACTTTACTGCTTAGTTAAAAATATTTTTTTGGCATGTGTTTCAGCCTGCATGATTGAAGATTTGAACACGATTGCAGAATTGAAGATTGATTTAAATTGATCAAATTTCAAACTAGAGCCAGACCGATATATCGGCAGACCGATATTATCGGCCGATATTAGGCATTTTTTTCAAACTATCGGTATCGGCAGTTATAATGGCCGATAAATGAATATTTCAAAAATAAAATAAAAACGGACGAAACACGCTTGAACCATGTCATGAGTGTTGGAGTTGTATAGTTTGTCCACCAGAGGGCACTCTACACCGTTCCTGTTGGCAAACCTCGTTGAATTGGGCACGATACACACATTGCTTGAATAACAATTAAAAGAACATCCCCATCAGCTCTCTTAACTCAAATAAGCATGACAAAATTTGTGACTATCATGTTCAGTTTAAAATAAATAAATGAAATATCGGCCGATATATCGGAATATCGGATTTTAAAACCAAAAATATTTGTATCGGTATCAGCCTTCAAAATCCTTAATTATCGGTCGGGCTCTATTTCAAACCACCTATGCAAGTTTCTTTTATTTTTCTGACCAAAACAACATGCAAATAACACAAAAAAACCTACAAAAAACAATAAAACAAAACCACGAAAAAAAAAAAACCCATACAAAACAGACACACAAAAAGTACTCCATACTCACCGATAGTGGTTGGCAAGCCATTCTGGCCGATCTTATTAAACAGGAACAGCTTGAGAAAGAAAAGCAAATATGAATAAGCAGCAGTTCTCTAAGGTAAAGAAAGATAAACATGTCCGTCCATTTAGAGAACTTCACAGGTAAACTCGAGCTTGAAGGCGTTGTGTGTACAAGATTTCAGCTGTCTGTAAAAACTGTGAGCAAACTTTGACAACATGTTGCGAGCTAGCCAGTTTGACACTTTTCTCTAGAAAGCACAATCTACAAAGAGGAACATTTACAGACAGAATCAGTGTCGCTTGACATAAGTATTGCACATTAAAATCGGAACAAATCTAAACTTGATGGATTAGCTTTAGTTAATGGATAAGGGAACATTCAATGCTTTTACATCCTCTTAATAGTCGCTAAGTTTGCATTTCGTGCAAAAACATGGCAAAAGAACAATTGAGACTCACCATAGGAGCAGCAATAATCAACATGGCCCAGCAAGTAGTGGCTCGGCCCCCGCTGTAGTCTGATATCAATCCAGCCAGTATGCCACCTAACACAGACAACAAAAAAAAAATACTTGGATATTTCGTATGGCTAAAATAAATCTAAAATGTATCATATCCACTTGCTTACCCACGATTCCTCCCACATCAAATAATGTAGATAGGTCGCCAGCTTCTTTCGGATCAAAATGAGCTAAGGAATAGAGCAGACTGATTTGTTGCAATTTATAGGGATTTTTTCGACTGTTTATTTGTGCACAAGAGCCTGAGAGCATCTGATGAAGGATTCTCACCAATATTAGAGATGTATAAAGGAAGCCAGTATAGGAAGGTGTAGCTGACCAACTTGGCAAAAAGCAAACACAAGGAGAACTCCACCACACCCTGCAGAATGAAGACAGCACATTTTTCAACAATGACATTATGATATTTACTTCTGTCCTGGCAACAAATGAATGTAGCTGTTAGTGTTCTGTACTAGCTTGTACACATTTGCAACATCATATTTCCTCATATCTGATGTTACTCAATAGGGTGAATTGCTTATTTCGCAGCATTCGTCATACAAGTTGCTTTACATAAAAAAAGCATCTGCTAAAGGTAAAGGAATAAATGTAAATCCAAAAATGGACTAAAATGATTTTCTTACTCAGTATTTTTGTCTTATTTTCCACAACAAATTTAGATTATTTTTAAAATCAAGATACACTAAGATGAGAAGCAAAATTAATTTTGAGGTAAGAAAAATAATCTTGATTTCCATTTGAATTATAAAAAAAATAAATTCCCTTCATTTTGATTTTTTTTTTCTCAATTTTTTCTCACCCTGGTGTTGTTCTAATGCTGTATGCCGTTCTTTCTTTTATACACCACAAAAGGACAACAAATAGTAAAAAGAAACACATTCATGCTTGTCCATATCATGGTAGCCACCAACATCAAGCTTTTAAAAAAATTATCACAGAATGATCCCATGAGAGACATCCCGTATATTCCAAGTATTCTGGGGCTATTTGATAGGGTTTGGCGTAAAAATACAAAATAGAATACAAATAGAAATTTAATATATTATTTAACATAAATCCTGACCTTGGCCGTTCATGAGACTAAAAGTGCCGCAGTTCACTCCGAAATGCCCAGAAAAAGCAAGTTGTGAGAAATCACGAAATAACAAAAACGTGACATGAAATACAATCCATGTACCTTCGTTGGGATTAATATATCCGTTGTGTTATCGCGTTCACATCTATCAACTGTCATTCTGGCTGTCATCAGACAAACAAAATTCCAGTCGGATAATATTTGACTCCTTGAAAAAAGTACACAGATACTTTTTTGAGGGATTTCTAGGCATTGTATTTCATGTCATATAATCGTGTTAATCTTATGTCGTGTTAAGGATTTAAGGGTTTAAGGATCTTGTGTGCTTTTTCTGGGTGAGACAGAGTGAACTGCGAAGCTAATGGAGTCTCATGAACACACAGGTCATGTAATTGTGCATAGAAGATCAAAATACATTAAATTTCTGTTGTTTCACACCAAACCTTACACCCCTGAACACTTGAAATATACGGCACATGTCTCATGGGATCAATCTGGTATACTTTTGCATATTTTTTTTTTTATATTTTTATTCCCCTTTTGTGGTCAAAAAAGATAGGGCTTGAGAGTAAATGACAATTTTCAGGTTAGGGTGAACTATCCCTTAAAGTCATTTTGCTTCCCCAGTACACTGACGTAAGAATAGTTCCTATTCTTTAAAGAAAACAAGACAAAAATACTAGCAAGAAAAATATTTTTCTTTCAGTGTACACTTAAGCAAAAATATTATATTTAGATTGGGAGAGCAAAAAGCTTTTTTTTTGGCACTTGACAGAATTGGCTCATCTATAATAATGAACAGATCAGGTCAACTCCATCTCTTAAAAGACTGACTAACAGCTGTGGGTGTAAAACTGAGAATAACAGGTCACTCACAGGAATCTTGAGCGCTCCGCAGAAGCTGATGGCTTCTGTGTGATCTTCCACCGGCTCCACGGCTGTGGAGGTGTGACTGCTGAAGATCTCCTCATTACTGGATGAGTTCCTCAACAGAGGCTCCTGCTCCACACTTTCCTAAACACAATAGAGCCTGTTAGTGTTATGTAATGGAGGAAAAAAATGTCCGTTAAAGGAAGAACAGTAAGAGACAATACTTAAAGTAAATACTGTATACTTAATGGTGGAATACACTACATGACTTTTGCACAGCTTTTCGTTCTGATTTGCAGTCTGGAGGAGTAAATGCTAGTGGCTGGAAATTATAGCCAGTCTGCAGATTGTGGTTAGAGTTGACAGATTTCACAGAAAAATCAGTGTATGATGGGCAGAGACTCCCATTTTTCTTTTTAAGCTTCAGACTATGATTCCTTCCAGTTGGAGGACACATACTGTTTTAATAGACCATGTGTCTTTTAGCAATGAGGCACGTTTCTACGTAAGTTTGTTGTGTTTGGTACAACTTGAAAATCCGGTAGTGTGAGATTCTGAGTCATTTAGTGTATGAGCCCAGTTTGTCCTATGTAACCATTTACAAAGTCAGCAAGTGTTCTAAAAAAGTTCAGATTTTAAAAGGCATGTAGTGAATTCCAGGCACTGAGATCAACTTAGTTAATGCAGTTCAACAGACAGCTAAAACTATGGAAGCTTGTTTCAGTCACTGAATAAAAATAAATAAATAAATAATTGTGACTTTTTTATCTCACAATTGCGAGATATGAAGTCAGAATTGTGAGAAATAAAGTCACAATTGTGAGATAAAAAAGAATTGTGAGATATAAAGTCGCAATTCTGAGAAATAAAGTCGGAATTGCGAGATATAAAGTCGGAATTGCGAGATATAAAGACGCAATTTACTGAGAAATTAAGTCGCAATTGTGAGAAAAAAAAGACAGAATTGCGACTATCTAAAAATTCGGACTTTTTTTCTCACAATTGCGAGTTTACATCTCGCAATTCTGACTTTATAACTATATAATTGCGAGTAATCAGGCTAATATTCTATGGGGGAAAAAAGACTAACTTAAAAAAAAAAGACTAAAATAAATAAATAATTATTATGACTTTTTATCTCACAATTGCGAGATATGAAGTCAGAATTGTGAGAAATAAAGTCACAATTGTGAGATAAAAAAGAATTGTGAGATATAAAGTCGCAATTCTGAGAAATAAAGTCGCAATTGCGAGATATAAAGTCGCAATTCGGAGAAATAAAGTCACAATTCGGAGAAATAAAGTCACAATTCTGAGAAATAAAGTCGGAATTGCGAGATATAAAGTCGGAATTGCGAGATATAAAGACGCAATTTACTGAGAAATTAAGTCGCAATTGTGAGAAAAAAAAGACAGAATTGCGACTATCTAAAAATTCGGACTTTTTTTCTCACAATTGCGAGTTTACATCTCGCAATTCTGACTTTATAACTATATAATTGCGAGTAATCAGGCTAATATTCTATGGGGAAAAAAAGACTAACTTAAAAAAAAAAGACTAAAATAAATAAATAATTATGACTTTTTATCTCACAATTGCGAGATATGAAGTCAGAATTGTGAGAAATAAAGTCACAATTGTGAGATAAAAAAGAATTGTGAGATATAAAGTCGCAATTCTGAGAAATAAAGTCGCAATTGCGAGATATAAAGTCGCAATTCTGAGATTTGCGACTTTTTTCCCCTCAGAATAGTTTATATCTCACAATTCTGACTTTACAACATGCAATTTCGACTTAATACCATGCATTTCTGACTTTATAACACGCAATTGCGAATTTATATCTCGCAATTTTGACTTTATATCTCGCAATTCTGACTTTATATCTCGCAATTGTGACTTTATAACACGCAATTGCGACTTTATATTACGCAATTCTGACTTTATATCTCGCAATTCTGAGAAATATAGTCAGAATTGTCAGATGTGAACTTGCAATTGTGAGAAAAGTCAGAATTGTGAGATAAAAAGTCGGAATTACCTTTTTTATTTTTCATTCTGTGGCGGAAACAAGCATCCATATAAAACTCATCCAGATTGCATTACAAGCTATTTTCTCAGTTCACGAGTGCTTCTGCTTTCAATTCTCAGCCAATTCACTAGTGATGTGTACAATCCTGTTGTAAATGAGAGGCTAAAGGTAATGCAAACACTAATTTCTCAAAAAAAAGATTTATTTATTGTAATCTAATGGCAGTCAATCAAGCATCAGTAAGCCTTTTCACATTAGTTTGCAACTCCGCTCACATATTAAACGGCTGTGAGGGGAGAACTTCTGTTTATCTGGTCATTCAAGTAAAGCAAAATGATGGTAGCAACATGCAGCTAGTGTCAATCAAACTGTGTGAACCTAGCTTTAAAGTTTCATTGAGTAGATACCTCATCAAATATTTTGCAGCAAGAGAAAAGTCATTTTTAAACAAACTCACATGGTGTTGTGGTGGAGTACAGTTCACATCTTCAGGTTCTGTAAAAGAGAAACCGCATGTTGTGATTCTGTTCCTGTCTTTGGATGCATAAACATGCCGATTCCCCTCCGATATAGCACGTGTGACTTACTTTCAACCAAGAAGAAAAAGCAGATGACTCCAGTGCAAGCGATGATGATACCAGGCACAATGAATGACAGGCCCCACGCGGACGACACATAGACACCAGCAATGAGCGAACCAAGAATGTTTCCCACTGAGGTGTGAGAATTCCAGATTCCCATGATGAACCCACGCCTGCATAAACAACATCAGGAGGACTGAACATACAGAACAACCTGGCACTTTGACAATGTTAAGATTCAATTACCAATTAATTAATATGAAGTTTGAAATTGGAATTTTAAGGTCAACATGAAATCAAAATACACCCGGTTTACTTCATTAAGGAACTGCCTTTCAAAAAGTGTGATGTGAAGATCTTTGAATAAAAAAAAATACTTCTTGTTTGTAAAAACACTTTTCTGCTCACTAAGGATCACACTAAATACACAGTAAACAGTTATATTTGAATTATTATTATTATTATATTTTAAAATGTAATGTAATACTGTGATGGCAAATCTGGATTTTTTTTGATTAATAGAACGTTCCAACGGAAATATTTTATAGTATTATACTGTCACTTACATAACATAAAACATGAAATAATAAATAATAATAATAACAATAATCTTACTGACCCCAACATTTTGAGAACAAAATTTCAAGCATGAAAAAAGCCTGGTAAAACTTTACAATAACGTCTCATTTGTTAACATTAGTTAATGCATTTGCTTAAATAAGCTAACAGTGAGCATCACGTTACAGCATTTATTAACTTTTATTAATAAAAATGTTAATATTTTTGTTAGTTCACAGTGTGTTAACTAACGTTAACTAAACAGATACAATATTTTGATTTCAATAATGTATTAGAAAATGTTGAGATTAGCATTAACTAAGATTAATAAATACTGCAGAAGTATTGTTCATAGTTACTAATGTAGTTAACTAATGTACCATAAGATTTTAATCAAAATGTAATAACTTTCTCTGCCTCTGGCATAACTTATGCCATGCAGGTTATTGGATAACATATCCAATAGCTTATAAATAGTTATTTGGAATAGTTTTGCTAACTCAAATTCATATTTGGCTCTTTTCTAAAATAAAAAAAACCCACTGTTCACCATCCAATCAGCTCCTAATGGATAATGATGCATTTCTTGATAAATATCTTCTGTTTCACCCTGAATTGTCACATTATTGAAATAAAATGGTTCGCAATTGAGGTTTAATATTGATTTTAAACCACAACTCGTGACAAGTTAGGCATTGTGGGATTGTGGCTGCAGGTACGGACTGAGGAGATCTGCATTTAGTTGTGTTAGTGGAAAATGCAGATACAATTTCTGCACTGTCAACAACACATATACTGAGCAAGCAGTCACTTACTTTCCCTTCCCAAACCAGTTCCCAACACACGCTACCACTGCCGGCCAGCCTGTAGTTTGCACCAGCCCATTTAAGGCCTGCAAAAGAAAAACGTATCAATCAGCAAACCTGAAGAGCACATGCGACATGTTCAAGAAGCATTGTAATCCGCATTGTTCGGTCATGTGCTAGCCGTGTGACTCGTCTCGTACCAAAATGACTCAAGGTTTACTGAGAAATAACTCTGGGCCAGTAAGACTGAACTAAAATAATGCTCAATGTGATATATCTGTCTGTCAAACACTTATAATGTTTTTAATTCCTAATTCTTTTAATTTCACTTTGAAAAATCACTCCTGACAAGAAAGAATCACTTCTGTTTTTTTAGTTTCACAAAGAGAACTTCTAGTACTCTCTCTCTCTATCTGGATTATTTGGATTTGGATTATTTTTTTAGGCGACACACCTTCTTACATTGGTTTATATATTAATAAAATATATCTAGCTTACCTGAATCAAGCAATAATACCAGAAAGAATGGATTCGCCAGTAAAATCCCAGGCCAAAAAGAGCAGTGAAAAGGCCACTGAGAAGCATCCCTGAGCTTAGGTAGTAACGCAAGGGCAGTCGCTCTCCAAACATCCCACTGTCAAAAATATTTGGGGTTATACCTCAAGCAAAACACACCGGTCTAACAAAGAAAGTCCAATATCATACCTAAAGAACATGCCGATAGCATATGCAACGAGGAAGCAGTTGTCCAACACTCCAAATAGGTTCTGGTAATTTTCTGGTCTGAATTGAACACAGAGATGGATGCGTTAATACACACTACTGTTTAAAAGTTAAGGTCAGAAAGACTTTTCTTTTTTGGAGAAATGAATACTTTGATTAAGCAAGGGCATATTAATAAGTCAAAAGTGACAGTAAAAACACAATGTTGTTGTTAAAATAAATTAAACATACAGTTTTAAACTCTTTTAAACATACAGTTTCCACTAGGGATGGGCAACGATTAATCACGATTAATCGCATCCAAAATAAAAGTTTGTGTTTACGTTTACATAATGTATGTGTGTGTAGTGTGTATAATTAATTTGTATATGAAGAGTTCAGATGCAAAAGCCTCTAAACACCATTTGAAATTTTCTTCTTTAATGATGATTTTTATCAAACTTGTATATTTAAGTTCAGTAATTTCACTTAAATAACAATTAATAGGTAATTATCATTGCCATTTAAGTGAAATCACTGAACTTAAATATACAAGCTTGATAAAAAAGATCATTCTAAAAGAAAATTTCAAATGGCACTTAGAGGCTTTTGCATCTGAACTCTTCATATATAATTACCCACACATGCATGTATATATTTAAGAAAAATGTGTTATTTATATATCAAATATTTATATGTATATATAATATTAATTGTGAATAAATATATATAAAATATATACATGCACAAATTTCTTAAATATATACAGTACATGCATGTGTGGGTATTTACTGTATATATACAAATTAATTATACACACTACACAAACGTATATTATGTAAACACAAACTTTTATTTTGGATGCGATTAATCGCTAGTTTCCACAAAAACATTAAGCGGGACTGTTTTCAACAGTTTCTTGAAGAATCAAAACACCATCTCTGAATGATTTGAGGACCATGTGATACTGAAGACTGGAGTAACGATGCTGAAAATGCTACTTGGATTATGTTTTAAAATAATTATGTAAAAATATTGAACTTTATAATAATATTTAAGAGACTTCTTTTAAAAGCATTTTTTTTTTTTTATCTTACCGACCTCAAACTTTTGAAAGTGTATGGTTGGGGGTATGAAGGGCAGATCTTCCTTTATTAAAACGAATCAAACTCACCAAAAGGAGCCCAATCACACCAGGTGTCATTGTCGGTGATGTTGAGGTCTGCTGGATGAATAACATAAGAGCAGTTTCTGTGCAGCTGACTCTGTCAAGAAAAAAAACAAAACAAGCATAAATGTATTATTTAACACATCTTACACATGCAACTGCTATCATGTGATTTATCTGTATATATAAAAAACTGTTGTTGCGTAACTTCTCTACAGATCAGGCCTATCACTCAGCTAGTTAATGTTTAGTTTCTAGGTTGTATGAATTTTTATTACCTTGACAATACTGATAGGCTTTCGAGAGAGGTGGTAGCTGGTGTAGAAGACGAACGTTAGGATGAGAATGGAGAATCTGTACCTAATCAAAAGAAATAAATAGAAGGAACGTTTCTAAATAAAATTATTTGCAATATTGGTGAAAGCAGAATGTGTTTGCTTTATTACATGAAACAGTCAACCAGTGATAGAAATGAAACCACATTTCATGACGCACAGGAAGCCAAGGCAAACACATACAAACATTGAATGATCTGATTTTTTTTTTTTAAACATTTCCTGTGGGGGAAGCATGTTTAACCCAGTTTTCATCAGTTTGAGGGCTATGCACACTGCAAAAGCGAAACCTGTAACATTTATGTCACAGTATTCTGTGCTTACTGATGAGGTAGGCACATAAAAATGAAAACAAATCAAAAATAATAATTAGAAAAAATTAAGATGTGGATATTTAAACCATGTTTTGAGTACGTAAATGAGTTGATATGGTGCACTGGTTAGTGATTTTTAATAAAATAAAACAAATACATAAATTAAATTGTGAATTCAACACGTTGAGGTGTACATTAGCACTAACTGAAAACCAAAAAAAATCAATAGTCACGTCTTCAACAATACAGCCCCACATGATGGGATAAATGTAACATCATAGAGGTGTTATCTGTATAGAAGTGTGATGTGTTTACATGGGCCTGTTACTCACCAGCTGTCTCTGGAGAAAGAGGTAATGAGTTTGATGCCCGGGGCCAGAGATCTCATTTTTACAGGTTGTTGGTTTCGTTGTAAAATATATATAAGTTATATATATAGCTGTTCTAAAGATTACCCGACGTCATAAACAATACATAAAAAAATCCCATTTCTATTAAAATTTGTAAAAACGCAAATTTAATGTTAAAATCGTACCCGTAAAATCAAAAGCAAGTAAAACATACAGCGAAACTAACTTAGCTGACGTATCGTGTTTTGTACGTTAAGTTAAAGATCAGCTTGCGTTAACGTTAATTTCTCACCGAGTCACGACCTAAAACTACGAGTCCATTTAGACATGTTCATTGAAAGCCGGCGATCCAAAACAAACGTTAGATGTAAAAGTTGCCTTTAAAGTATCGGAGACGTACTGTCATTTCCTAATTCCAGTGGTGGAAAAACCTTAAAGCGCTCTGAATTCCCAAAGATTTCCATGGTTGCCCTGACTGGTGGTCCGTCTACGTTTGAAGCCGGGTGCTATTAATACCCGTTCGTCTGGTCTACAACATCACATGAGAATTCATTGATCTTTAGCTCGGGCAGTGCAGTTGTACCGTCGCCATTCCTGTTTTCAATTTCCATCCCGGGTTTGCGGCGCACACTGGACTCGATCTCACGGTGGAGTGAACATGTGATACAGACTGACGTCATCGGAGCTTAAATTAACCCTTCATTATTCTGTTAAACCCAAATAAGAAAGCGATATCAGCAACTGAATTATACTCTAAAATATTTAAGTGAAAATCTAGGAATATATGTATCTTGTTATAGATAGTTTGTAAGTCTGTCTATTATTTTTTATCTTTTTTTTTGCCATATAATTTCTGTTTACGAACTGTGATGATTGTATATTTGTAATCTGCATTCTAATAAAAAAATAAAATAAAATAAAATAAACTCAAGTGCTCAATTTAAGAAAAAAAAATTCTGTTAAACCCATTGTCTATGGCAGAGAATTTCAAACTTTTGTCAGCCGAACCACTTTGACCTGAAATATTTGCTTAATTATTTAGTGAATATATATTAAGTTATCAATAATTCAATATTTCAATAATTTAGCAACATTGTCACATGTTCAGGGTTCTCTGTCGGTCAGTGATCACATGACATACATGCAAAGAAATAAAATATTTCATCTTTATTAGTAGGAATTTTATTTTAATTTATATTATTTTCAAACTATTTATACATTTAAATTTGACCTGTTATCAATTCATTATTATTTTAGTTTCAATAATGTACGAATCCCCTGCAGTTCTCATAGGAGCCCCCAGGATTTTGTCCATCACAGTTTGGGAAATTTTGGTCTATGGTTGTTTGTTTTGGTCTTTATTTTTTATTTTCAAAAATCAAACTTACCAAACTTACCAAAAAAAAAAAAAAAAAAATTAATTGGGCATGGTCCTGCTTTCTTTCTTTTTGATTTATTTAGTAATGTGTTGTAATGTGCAACATTAATGTGATATGACACATAAAGTACAATAGATCCTTAGTTCCTGTTTTACTCATCCACTCAGATTTATTTAGGCAACAGTAATGTGATATGACACATTTAATACTTTATCAAAACAAAGAACAATAGATCCCTAGTTCCTGTTTTACTCATCCACTCAGATTTAGGTATCAAATGTAGGCCTATCTATAAAAAAATAATTTTAATATTACAGTGTTTATTCCAAACATATGTTGCTTATCCTGCACAAATCTTGAGCATAGGTTACTCTGACAATACAAAATACATAAAAGATTGTATGTATCAAAACTACTAGAAATGAGGATGATGCGTTATGGAATGGAAATGAATACTTCTTATTTCCATAGACATAGACAGAAAAAAATGTGACTGCTATTCACTTACTGACTTCTCAACCAGATACTAAAGCATACAGTATTCAGGAATTGTATTTGCATAATGGTTGAATAAGTGTATAAAGGTCACAAACAATATATATGGCAATATAACAAAGATTTTTAATAAAAAAAAAAATATATATATTTATTTATAACTATGTACCAGAGAACTGGCTTTTGTGTTGACCAGGAAAGAAAAACTATATACATTTTCTGTCCAGGCAATAGTATATACAGTGTACACATATAAAACAAAATAGAGATGAGCTATACTATTCTTATTTTGAATAGCTTATATAATAAAGCAGCAGACACAAACTGCCTTTGCCAACCAGGTGACTACATATAAGTAAAATTTGAGCTAAATAATGACACTATTGTCTTTTAAAGCTGTTTTACAGCAGAATCTCCATAGTTGAGTTTCCATATTTGACTCTGCTTTTCCTGTTTATCACTGTTTTAACTCAACCTGTATATAGCACTCTAGAAATAAAAGTGACTTGTCTTGTCATAAGGCACTGGAAGACCCACAAAAAGCATGTGACTTCAAAATACATTGAAATGTCTCAAAAATATTTACAATAATCAGATGGCTTCTAAACTCATTGGATGATTTGACTGTCAGATTCAGCTGTGGCACAGGAATAATCATTTCATTTCTAAGTAAAAAAAAGAACCTTCAATTATCCGTTTAATTAATTTCATTATTTTATTTTCAGTTACACGTGAAAATGTCACAACTCACAACTCTTGATCAATGGTGCTCTCTGTCCCTTTGTGTCACCTGGTGGTGATTTTGCAAGTGAGTTTCACATAGGTCTACTTTATAAAAAATATATTTGGCTCATTTATTTTCGATAAATGTATGTTTTTTTATTAAGTTCACACTCTAATTAGTTTTAGACTTTTCAATAATTATAAAATGGTAAAAATAGTGACAGTGAAAGTAATGATGAGTGCATGTTTCCAATTTATGCAGGTAAGGAATAGAAGGAATACACAGATTGGATAAATACAGTAGAAAGACAGAGAGAGAAAAGTCAAGTGAAGGTTTATTATTCTCCATTTTTTCACTAAAGTTAGCTTCACCGGAGCCTTCACCCTTAGCGGTCTTAGATGTAGGGGCGTTTACATTTTAAAGAGACATGAAACAGACTTCAGTCACATTATAAATAATTATTTCACAGAATTTACCGTATTCTAACTGCATGAATTTAATCAGATTTGTCTTTTATCCCTACTAAAATAAAAATATATAAAAATGAAAATTTTTACTTTGTATGGGAGGTCCCTAATGCCTTATGGGCTTCAATTCAAGCACTGCATTTAGGCGCTCTAATAAAACCAACCTGTGACACAAACAATCAAACAATTGAATTTCTCAGTTCATTAAGGTTTACTAAAACAATAAAAATATTGCTCAAGTTGAGGTATGTCAGTTTATTTAAAACCATACATGAGTACAATGTAAAAATTTCACACCATGTACTCATTAAGTTAATACAAAATAACAGTTATGGCTGTCTAATCTTAAAACACGTTCATACAATCACTTTCTTTGAGAATGGACTTCCATAGAGGATGCCTTCCAGGTGGACGAATACTGTCCAAGACCTCCTTCCTTCAGATCACAGCTAAGCAAGACAGACTGCAGAGCCTGAGCATATGCTGCAAAAAAAGACATCACATTTATGCATTTAGTAGACGCTTTTATCCAAAGAGACTTACAAATGAGGAACAAAGCAATTCGTCAATATTCTCAATATTCAATGCCATGTTTATAGTTTATTTAATGTAAAATTAAACTTTTTAAAGTAAGTTTAACGCACTTTACTGGTAACCAAACGGTTCAAGGTCTAAAAGACAGTTTCAGTGCAAACTGCTCAAAGGGCTTTAAACGATTCCAGACGATGAATAAGGGTCTTATCAAGTGACATGATCGCTCAAAACGTGCGTAGCTGCGTTACACCACCTCCTGAGCTGGTGTAGGATTTGAGCATGCCATACGCCAACGTCCATATTGATAAATCTCAAAGTCACCGTGGTTTTGGGTGTACGCTGGAAATTTGGTGTACGCACTTTTGATAAATGAGGGCCATTGAGTTTTGATTTCTAAGTGATCAAATTAGGTATATTTACACTATAAACAGAAATAAAAGGGGGTGAAAATACATTACTTTCACAAAACAACAAGTTTTGATTTCAAAGTTAACAAATTATATATATATACAGTGGTATGAATAAGTTTTGGCACCCATGCTAAAGTTGCCTAAAAAGAGGAATAAAAAAAATCATCTTTTGGATATTGATCTTAATGCCTTAATTAGAAAAATGAGGAAAACTCCAACCTTCAAGGACATACATTTTCTTTGTGAATGAATAATGTATCATAAATAAATAAATGTTTTTCCTTAAAATACAGGGTGCATAAGTCAGGGCACCCCTATGTTAAATTACCATAGAGTCAGGCAGATTTTTATTTTTAAAAGCCAGTTATTTCATGGTTCCAGGATAATATGCATCCTGATAAAGTTCCCTTGGCCTTTGGAATTAAAATATCCCCACATCATCACACACCATTCACCACACCTAGAGATTGGCATGGTTTTACTTCAGTTAGCCTAATAGCTGGTTTGATTTGCATTGACAGATGATCTTATGGAAAGTACCCCATGCCAATCTCTAGGTGTGGTGAATGGTGTGTGATGATGTGGGGATATTTTAATTCCAAAGGCCAAGGGAACTTTATCAGGATGCATATTATCCTGGATCCATGAAATAACTGGCTTTTAAAAATAAAAATCTGCCTGACTCTATGGGAATTTAACATAGGGGTGCCCTGACTTATGCACCCTGTATTTTAAGGAAAAACATTTATTTATTTATGATATACATGACAAATAAGTTTCAATAAAAATGTCATTAAAGTATATAGTTTACCATCAATGCTTGTCATTATATTTGGCAGTACACTTTAACCATATTTCAAAGACGATAAAAACAATTATGAGGTTATGTAGATGTACCTAAAGTGGGTCAAAAAAAACACACTCATAAGTACATTTAAATGTATTTAAATATAAATTCAAACTATAATACATTATCACTTAATTGTAAATAGCGTATTAAGTGTCTAAACACATTCCATTTAGTTATATAACTGTAAGTACCCTTTTAAAAAGCATGCCAAATTGTAGTTTCTTTTTCATTCGGGTATTTAAAACTTGTTTTCATCTAGCTATAAAAAAGGCTGTTCCTATGATGAACTAAATCCATGATTAAACTTCACACTGTCTGTAATAATGTAAAAATATCTACAGTTATGACAAGCACCGTCCGTCAAGTCACGGTACTATGAGTAAAACCATTTTCTAACCAGGCACGATGTGTCAAGGTTTCCTTTCCAGCAACACAATCCCAACCAATCAGAACACTCCTGAATTTTATTCTACAGTTATGAGGAAGCAGGATTTTGGACGAATGATGTTTCACTGTGGGTGGGGCTATCCCACACATGATCCCACACAACAACACAGATATAGGAACCAAGCAGCTAACAATTTTTCTTGTCACTTGTTTGTTTAAAGCAAAAACTCAATACACAACACAAATCATTTTCATATAAGGAGCAGCGATAGGGTGACCACCTGCTAATAAGCCCAAGGGGGGACAAGGGGTATGTTTCCGAGGGACAATGTGGGACACTGCTAGGCGCGGCGGTGCCCCCATCCCACGGGCAGACTCTGATAGTGGTTTACCCCTATCTAAAATTGTCACTATTGCCTTACTGTTTGTACATGAATAATTGTTCAAAAAAAAAAAGCACATACCTTAGCACATACATTAATAATGCCCTATTCCCTAAACATGTGTAATTGCTGATATATGCTCATGAATAGGCCAACCAATGTGTATTTTTTTTTCTAAATAAAATGAATATTTTGAACATTCAATGAATTGACAGATGCACTTCCACTTACGATTTACTTTAGCTATTTAATTTTATTTATTTTTCATTACAATTAATTCACCTTAAATAAATAAAAATATAAAATTATAGGATTAACAGTAATTATAGTTCCTCAACACCACAGGAACAGTTTTTAAAAAAGTTGAAAAAAAGTCTAAACTCACAACTCCAGAGGTTCACGGAACGACAAGGTGTGCTGTCATGACAACAATGAAAAAGTTGACATCAACCTCAGCAGGTCACGTGGGAGTGGCAACCAGTCTTGGGGAAGTTCTCACTTTCTGAACTAGTTCAAAGTTTAGTTCACACATTTTAAAATGAACTAGTTCAGTTCAAAGTTTGCACAGAAATGTAAGATTTTTCCCATCTTCACCGACCTCGTTATAAAATCCGTTTAAATTATCATATGACGCCTTTGTCGACGGCGGCCGCGGTGCGACGCTGGTGGCTTGTGTTGCCAGATTGGGTGTTTTTTTCGCTACATATTAAGCCCTGTTTACGTTGAGTTTTAGCCGGGCTTTCGCCTGGAAGGCTCTATAGAAATCTAGCACCCCATTGAACAAAGTTAAACTGAGAGAGCGTGCGTTCACAGACACCAGAATGAACGAGTTCACACGTTAATCAGGACAGGCAGTAAAACAATACGTTCAGTTCACCCACAATATGAATGAGTTCATGAACGTGAACGAGTTCAGGCACAAGGTTTGGCTGCCTGGGTCTCAAGGATATAGACTGACCGACTTTTTTTTTCTTTTTTTTTTTTTGAGCAAGCATTGATTATGCGTGACACGGTCTCAATTTGCGGGACGCATGAATTGGGCTTCTAACGCTGTGCGCGCACGCGCTACACGGGACGGGTGGTCACCCTAAGCAGCGAGGTGTTATACACTTAATCTACAATATGAAATGAAACGGATACAGAGTGAGCAGTTTACCTTTTGGATTGTTGTAGAAGATACAGTTGTTGGCGCAGGTGTCAGGATGGCTGTCCCAGAAAGTGTCTCCACAGGAACACAGAGGAGGCAGCTGTACCTTGTCCTTCTTCAGTTTCTCCTTCAGCAGAGCCTGCATAGCCTCAATGTACCTGTCACAGAATCATCACATGCCATGACAGCTCTTTACATGTTATTAAACACCATTCTGATCTTTTAAATGTGAAACAATAGATGTTATGGTGCATGGTTATGATGGTTTGGGTCATTAAGGTTTTTAATTGTTTTGTTTTTTTAAAGCAAGCACTTTTATTCAGCAATGATGCATATAAAAAGTTACAGTAAAGACATTTATAATGTATAAAACAAAAGATTTCTATTTAAAAAAATAAACTATTCATTTGAACTTTCTATTCATCTATTCATCATCAATTTTGGGATATTACATAAAAAAATAAACGCCAGATGGAAATGCTAAGATGCACATCAATACTAAAAATGTGCACAAAAAATGTATGCGCTTAATTGAGTGATGAAGACGTGCATAAACTATGATGGAAACACATTTACAGAATAAATAACAAAACAAACACAACTCCTGAACATTTACATTTATTCATTTAGCTGACGCTTTTATCCAAAGCGACTTACAATTGCTATATATGTTAGAGGTCGCACGTCTCTGGAGCAACTAGGGGTTAAGTGTCTTGCTCAGGGACACATTGGTGTCTCGCAGTGGATTCGAACCCGGGTCTCTCACACCAAAAGGTATGTGTCTTATCCACTGCGTCACCACCACCACCCAATTGGCTCACATGAATAAAAGATGTGATTGGATGACTGGACTAAACAACGGACCAGTTATATTGCACAGCATCTCAAATGTTGTTTTAGTTATTCTAAAATGCCTGAACAAATGCCTTTCATCAAAATGATTTGGCATAATGACCATAATCACATGATTGCATGCATTCCCAAACATCAGGCATCCAAACGCAAGATGAATGACAGCATTTATTGTATTTCATCTGCACGATCTGAGTAAGTCATTTATGATGGAGGAAAAAAAAAATCAGGTTGCAGCCATTTCCATTTTTATTACAGTTATTTTGAGCCAATTTCCAAGGAAGTGACAATTTTGAAAACATGGGATGGAGACACTGCTTTATATCCAGTGTTGGGAGTAACGCATTACAAAAGTAATACATTACAGTAATATATTACTTTTTGCTGTAACGCAGTAGTGTAAGGCATTACTAATCAATTTTCAGTAATATTTTACTCGTTACATGTTCAGTCAGGCTTGTATTACAGTTGTATTACAGTGTATTTTACTTCTTAAAGGCAACAGACTATGTGAAAGTTTTAAAGCAGTCTTTTTGTGCCGGTTCAGAGCGGTCGTGTCTGTAACATTGTTTTTCCCTCATAAATGCGAACACGAAAACTAAAATGCCAACCCCTCCTCATCCGATTTGTGCAGTGTAATTAACAGAATTACAAAAAATATATTTTGCCTCCTATTTTTTTTTTTCACGCATGAATGTGTGTCTTTTCCCTAATATTAAAAATAAAACATAGACTGATTTGTCTAATGTCTAATGTCTGTCCTTTAAGGAAATAGCCTATATACGTTTCAATACATGTATTTTCTGAGAATTTTTATTTCAAGTTTTGACTGCAAATGTCATGTCCATAATGCTGGACTTCCCCAATTTTAAATAATTTATCCTCAACTAGTTTTGTGGTGTAGGTCTGCGTATTTAAAATGTTAACTTCAAATACTAATAGCCTAATTTTAAGATAAGGCAGCATTGGATCTGAACGGTAAGGAAAATAACGCTGGGAGTTGGAAGAGGTGTGTCGCGATTCTGTAGGTTCGTGGATCTGAGTCGTGTGGCGAATCGCGATTTCGGTTTCATATTGCATATCGTTACCGTCCCAAAGTTAAGTACTACTTAATTATTTTGGTGAAAGTAACTCAAAAGTAATACATGAGTAATGTAACGCATTACAATTCTGAGACAGTAATATTGTAAGGTAATGAATTACTTTTAAATAACAGTAACAAGTAATACCTAATGTATTACAGTTTGGAAGTAACTTGCACAACACTGTTTATATCACAAATGTTTTATGCGACATTCCAATTTTGCGTATAAGTTAAATTCGCAGCTTTGCATAGAAACATTACGTTGCTTGAGCAGCAAATCAGCATTTAAATGATTTCTGAAGGATCATGTGACACTGAAGACTGCAATAATGGCTGCTAAAAATTCTGATTTGCCAAAAGAGGAATAAATTTCATTTGAAAATATATTAAAAGAGAAAACAGTTATGTTAAATGAATAATATTTCACAATATAAAGTAGTGTTTGATCAAATAAATGAAGCCTTGGTCAACATTTCGTCCCCTTGGAATTATAAGGTTCTATCTGCGTTCTGAACAGTTTTGAGATATTGAGCTTCAAAGTTTTTGCATTCCATATAAGAAAATGTGTATAGGGAACAAGTTTCGTTCAAACATAAAAATAACAGGGACCCTAAATGTACAAAACACATCACATAATGTAAATAAATAAGAATAAGAATATGTGAATAACTCAATTTTGACAAAAATGTCAGATAGAACGGGGGACGATTTTCAAGGGGACGATTTTCAAAAAATCTTATTGACCCCAAACTTTTGATCAGTAGTGTTTTTATGCTAATAATGAACATAGTCATGCATTTATTGGCAGTATGTACCGTTTGCTTTCTTTGATCCCTTTTGTTCTTTCTCGTCTCTCTACCTTCTCTGCTGCCTCCTCCTCATCAAGCCTCAATCGCTCCAAAATCAAATACTCCCTCTCAGCCATGTCTTTTCTTTCTTCCTCCAGCTGTCGCTGCCTTTCCATCTTCTTCTCTTCAGCTTTCCTGAGTTGTTCTTTTTCATTCTTAATCCTACACACAGCAAAGATTTCTCTGGGTTTATAAAAGAAAGTATAAGAGCGCAACATGAAGTCTTTTGTGTTCTTGGACAACTTAATGAAAAGAAAATGTGTGGTTACTCGCTTCAATAGCGCAATACATGCAGTAAAGCGTACGGACGGGTTTCTAAAATGATTTTTTTTTTTTTAAATATAAATTGTAATGAAAAATTACATCTAAAAATCATCTTTAAATTAATTGTCCTAAATATTTTCATATGTGCACATACATATACATTTGAACCTAAATTCTATGTCATCAATAGAAAACCTACATTTTGAAAATGTATGCGTTTTTTTTTCTGGGAATCAAAAGGAAACGGCATAATGGTTACAAGAAAATTTTAAATCACTGCATTTGTAATGAGTAATGGGAGTGACCTTTTAGAATATCAAGTCATGTCTTTTTACATTGGTCTTTGTCTCAAAGACATGGCAACCCTGCTCACAGTCTTAGTTTAAATTCAGTATTATTACTATTTTACATTAACTAATCATTCATGTAAACTATTTCTCATAGCCTGACTACAGGAGAGAAATGTAAGCAATAAGTCTGTCCCAGATTACAATCCAAAATACATTTACGAAAGAACTCATCCCCAAAATTAGCCTGGGAAAACCCAGACAATTTCCGGCAAATTTAGATTTGAGTTACAAACTGAGAATGGTCTGGTTTCAACCAGGCTACCCCAAAATGACTTTGTTATCGGAGACATTTTGCTCTGGTCTCAGTAATATGACAATAGTACCACCGGAATAGTATTTAATCAGTTATTGCATGGAAGCGGCAGCAGGACATCAAGAACTATCCTGTGACAAAGTGACTGTGATTACCAATCATTAAGACAAATGTCTTTCTGAGTATAATCCTATCACACGACCCCTTTAGTGATCACACCTTTACTAACATCTGTGATGTGGGTACGGAAGGTTATCACTTTATCAATTTAAATTTAAAACGAAACCTTGTTTGCATGGTGCAAGGGAAGACTAGTGTAGAAACAGTATAAAATGTTCGAGCCTGTATAACCCAAGGTGCTTTGTGTACTTTATCACTGCTATGCTGCAGTAAACTTTTTAATAGAGATCTTTAACGTCCTCAATTTTTTCTTACAGAAACCAAAAGAGAAGTGAGCAACCATCACGTGGAAAGGAATGAAAATAGACAACCTTTTTAGTAGCAGTGAATTTATGAAAATGTAGCGCTGTTGTAGAAAAAAGTCTTGTGAACATGTGGTGAGGTTCGACCTTGCAGTTCTCTTAAGATGTTTCCTGTGCCTTTGATGCTCCTTCACTTGCTCTCGCTCAGTATCCATGAAGTGACGTCGATACATGAGGAACTGAGACTGCCTCTGAAACATTACAGTTAGCACTTGTTGAAGACAACATTGTTTTGGGTAAAAACAGACTCCACCTAAATCGAGACTAAACGCTAAATACACTACAGTTAGAGTTGGTATTTGTTTAGTTTTTTTTAAGAAGTATTACTTTTATTCAGCAAGGATGCATTCAATTGATCAAAAGTGGCATTATAAGACATTTATTCAATATTCAATATCATTTATAAAACGCTCATCTTTTGAACTTTCTATTCATTAGAGAATCCTGAAGAAACATATATATATATATTATCCGTTTTCACCAAAATATTAGACAGCACATCTGTTTTCAACATTGATAATCATAAGAAACGTTTCTTGAGCAGAAAATAAGCATATTAGAATGATTTCTGAAGGATCATGTGGCTCTAAAGACTGGAGTAATGGCTGATAAACTATATTAAAGTAATAAAAAAGTTATTTTAACCATCAAACCGTATTCACTTTATAGCCCTTAATCCTGTAATTGTGGACAAATGTGAGCACAGAGGACTCAGGTGTGATCCTAATTTTTATTTATTATAAATGTTATATCACTGTCAGTGTCTTCGATAAAGTTTTGTCTATCCATTTATGGTGTTTTTTTTTATTTTGGGGGTATTTTTGAATATATTTACTTCAAAAAGTACCATATTTTCTATGTAAATTAATTCTATGTAAATTAACTATTATGTAGTTTTATTTTTTTAACTACATTAAAATATTATTCCAATAAGTTCTTAGAGCTAAAACCTTAAGATGAAGTGATTTTGCTGTCACTTGGTGTCTTATTTTGGCTTATTTTAGAATGCTCTAAATTACAGTTTTCCCCATTCATTTCTATGGGTGCTCATTTTTGACCCAAATACAAGATTAAGGTGTTTTTTTTTTTTCACCCACTTAACATTGTAAAATTGAGTCAAAAAAATTGTGTGTGTTCAGGAGGCAAACTTAGGAAAAGTAGGCAAGTCTTGTACCGCTCAGATCAAGGGAAGTATTTTTTTAAAAAATAAATCAAAACTATTTTGCCCACATTTGTCCAGAATACAGTTTTAGGGTTAAATTGTAATAATATTTGACAAGTTACAGTTATTTACTGTATTTTAGGACAAAAAAATAAATAAAAAAAATGCAGCCTTGGTCTGCATAATCAACGTAAAAAAAAAAAAAAATACTGACACACTTTTGAACTGTAGAATGCATTTGAATTATCTCTATTTTTCAGTGTAATATGCTTACAATCAGACATTCAGTTTCATTGCCATGTTTATGAAAATCTACACTGATTTCCCTAATAAAAAGAGCCAAAAGGGGAGACCTTATTCAAAATAAAGTGTGATTCCTCACCTGCCTCTTTAGCTCCTCCTGATTCTCATGAGGCCAAAGCACTTGGGACGCTCTGTATTCAGTAGTAAAGCCTGTGTGGGAAGCCGTGGGATCTGGACCATAGACCTACAGAGACATCAAAATATATACATGAAATAATAACATATTGTGTTGAAAATGTAATAAAAGGCCATTTGATGTAAGACAGCTTGAACAATACATATTCAGAAAGTACATATTTATTCTAAAGCGTCCACTTAAAAACAGAAAGGGGCAATCTAAGGTATATGTATTAAAAAAAACACCAATCAGTTTTTATATGATGTTTAAGGAAAGGTGAAAATAAAAATTATACTATAATCATGATTAAATATGCAACACACTGGTAGCTGATTCAAAAGATTCAAGATGCAAAAGTGTTTTGTCTAAAACATAAAGCACTTATATATTCTCATGTATTAAAACACATTTATACAATGTGAGGAGAATACTATGTGTGATATTACAAAGACCCGAAAACAAAATAATTTGGTTTTATACTGTCATTGATTAAAGTCAATTACTTTTTCTCCACAAACCTGTGTGTTTTGTTTGTGTAAAATGATCACAATGATAGTTAGAAGCTAAATTAAATAATAATATTATCAAATCTGGAGAATATGAATGTTAAAAAAAAATGTTAAATGTATTTTATTCGTATCTTACGTTGACTTTGACAGCCCTCTAAGAATAAAATACTTTAGAGAGAAGAAAAATACTTGATATTGTAGCGGAACAGAAACTCAGAATTTTACTATATATATTTCATTTGTAATATACATATTTTTTACAGTATAAATTGGGAATTTATACATGAATACATCAATACCTCATCATACTTGGCATCTGTAGCATCTAAAATCTGTGATATAGAAAACACTAAAGACGTGTGTGTAAACTAAAAAATTAAAAATAAACTTTTGACCATTTAACACTTATTTAATCAACATAGTGCACAAACAACACAGGATATAATGTGGTTTTCAAGGACACCTTGTTTACTCTCCATGTCTTTCTAAGATCCTATGCCACAAACCTAACAAACTTACACAAACAAAAAATACAGTTTTTCCCTCAGAAGCACTTACTTCAACGTGGCAGCACAGACATTTGTCAGGAAAGCCTTGCTTTTCAGCAGAATGATAAGCAGGACTTTTTACGTATTAACGTAGGTGTGCCATCTGGGACTAAATTTAAGGCCAAACAAGATCTTCTCACCCTATCGTTCTGAAAAGTTACAGCCTTGCTTCTGTGGTGATGCAAATGAAGAGGTTGATCATGTTGCCCCAACAGCATCTCATCTTCCGAGTCAACATCCTGCTCGTTTTCCTCTCCTCCATCATTCGAACCTTCAGTATAATCCTTCTGATCACTCAAAGTATGTGATTCGGGTTTCTGCATATAACAAATGTGAAGATATTAATACAACAACACTGAACGTTCAGGTCTCAGAAATGACCCTGAATGCATCATGCATGACTCACATTTCTAGCTGGGGATATTTTCCATCTCCCACCAGGTAGCTGTGATAGTTCATCTCCATCTTGCACTATTTGACGAGCAGCAAGTCTGTGTCTCACCTGCTTCCTGACTTTACTGACCTGGAAATAGTCCCATTATACATTAACATCTAGATTCTGACAAAAGCATACAAGCAAAATGATCCAGATAGTTCCTGGATGGACTTATTTTGATGATCATGGAACAACATTACAAAAAATTTAGTCCTCACCCTATCCCTAGCCCTAATCCTTAAGTTCTTCCTAAAATCTGAAGGAAATTATAGGGACTTAACCCTGGTTGTAATCCTAAACTTGTCCCTCAAATCTGATTGGTTAATTGGAACGTTGCTCCAGGATCAACAAAGGTGTTGCACTTGGTGAAATCAGATTCTGCCTGTAAATACCCGTACATGATGTGTGTGCTGACTGGAAGAAATGGCCTCTGTCCCCTGAGCACTGACCAAGCGAGAGCTGGGACTGCAGATAACTCGCTCCCCATGTGTCCAGGAAGGGAATACATTGGTTTGAGGTGTAAGGCGATGGCTGGTTTGTTGCAATACTTTGTCCTCACATTCAACCTGAAAAAAAAGAAGAAGAAAAGTTCACACAAATGACTATTTGAGCATTTCTTAGAATAAGGTGTCATGATTTTCCACACAGATATTCAGATAAGCTTATGGTTGTTGGTGACAATAAAATACAAAAGGCAATTTTCACAAACATTTGATGCGTTTAAAACTAGCTACTTTTTATACCATGTTTACAACTGTTAGAAATGTTGTTGTCAGTAAGTTGTTTTATAATATTGTTAACTAAGTAAAATTATTAGAAATTGTTTTTTGCTAAAGAAAAGTAAAGCTGAAATAGAATATTAAAATTAGATGCAAAACTGGTTGTCTTGGCAACTTACCAAAGTTGAGGTACTAAATTTAGTGTAAAGTATAAATTAAAGCTAAATAAAAAAATATTTTCAATAAAATGACAAAGGCGCAACAAAATTACAACATCAACTAAAATGAAAACTGAAAATGTACTAATAAATAATATAATTTAGTGTATATTAATAGTAAAATGATACTTTTATTCCGTAAAGATGCATTAAATTGAACAAAAAATATGTTTTAATTAAATCAATTTGATCAAATCATCAACAAGCATCAAAACAGTATATTATAATGATTTATGAAGGATCATGTGACACTGAAGACTGAAGTAATGATCCTGTTGAAAATTCAGCTTTGCTGGCACAGGAATAAGTTACATTTTAAAACAGAAAACTTTTGAAGAATAGCAAAAATATTTCACTATTAATGTTTTTACTATGTTTAATCGAATAAATGCAGCTTAAGTAAGCATAAGAGACCTCTGAACCAAACGTTTAAACAAAAGTGTTAAGTTTATGCTATAGTTTAACATGGTTCTATTTCCAAAGAGCACAGGATTTGTGTCTTTATTGCTTATTACTCAGGTGAAAAAAGTGCCTTTGTTGCTCAGTAACAGACATTTCTTACTGTCTCATATGATTTCAGTAGCTGCTGTTGCTTGCGCAGATGGACCTGCTGTGAAACACGTTTACGAACTGCATCCTGAAACCGGCGCAGACTCTCCTCTTTCTCTCGTCGGGTCTCCTCCAGAAGCTCTTCCGTAAGCAAAGCCCGGACCTGCCCCACACACAGGGTGAGATTTAAATGACATGACTGTCTGGCTATAGTTAAAGACACTTTCTACAAATAAGGTACAAAATAGGGCCCTAAAGTATTTTCTTTTCTTTTCTTTAACCCCAAGAGGCAATTTGATGATCTCATGATTTCATGATCCCATTTATTTGGTGTTTGCAAGTTTTGCAACCCTTTTATGCAAATTTGGGATGCATCTAAAAACAGCTTAAAATAATAAATAATATATTATTTGATTAAAAATCACATTATAAATGAATTAAATAATTAAAAATAAATTCACATTAATAATAAAAATGAACAAAATGTATAAATAAGTACATGTATAATTGCCTAAGTAACAGTAATTATATATATATATATATAAGTTTATAATTTTACATTTTAATATTACTTTTAGTTACTTTGTTGTGGTTTTGGCATTTAAAAAAAATGTATAATAAATAACAGTTATTTGGTTTTTTTTTGAATATATATATATATATATATATATATATATATATATATATATATACACATGCATATTGATCCTTCGATGTCGGCTCTTCCTATCATTGTGAAGCAGAATTCACCAAACGTTGGATTGTTCACCCACTAATAGGGAACGTGAGCTGGGTTTAGACCGCCGTGAGACAGGTCAGTTTTACCCTTCTTTACCCTTCATATATATGGTTTGGGCGGGCGTCTAAAAAAAAAGTCTATAGTTGTATTAAAGGAGTAGTTCACTTTTTTTTTAAAAAAAACAACTTTTGCTGATAATTTACTCACCCCCATGTCATCCAAGATATCCATGTCTTTCTTCCTCCATTCGAAAAGAAATTAAGGTTTTTGATGAAAACATTCCAGGATTTTCTCCATATAATAGACTTCATTGGGAACCAAACGGTTCAAAGTCCAAATGAGAGTTTCAGTGCAGCTTCAAAGGGCTTTAAACGACACCAGACGATGAATAGGGGTCTTATCTAGGACCCTTTG